CTTTAGATATTTACTGATCTGTCAGGTTTCCGATATGCGTCCCCCCCAATGACAGACTCCTTCCTACGCCCTTGTCTACAAGTCATTTTGAGATTCTTTAAGTAGAACATGGCAAAAAAGGTGTATTCAGTTTTCTCATTTAGTTTCCGTGACAGTAAATGTATTTTCTCTGTAAAGCCAATAAGATATTATTTGCAGCTTGTTGTTGCGCAACCCCCCCCCCTCCTGCCCTTCTCTCTCTCTCTCTACTTCCCTTTCTGAGAGGAGGGAGATGTTGCTCCCAGCTCTCCATCTAACGGGTCCGAGAAGCCTCTAACTCCGGAGTATTACTACAGATGAGAATATAGAGGACATTCTGTTTAAGCTGGGTGCGAGAAAGACTAGCCTGGTTTCTAACGACCTCTGCCTCCAGATGTCCCACCCTTTTTCACCCTGTGAACTAGCCAGATCGAGCAGCCCGCAACCAGCTAGCTTCACAGAGCACACTTGTTAACGGTCGCTCTTTCTCTTTATTACAACTTGCACTTATTACTGAACCAGGTTGGTTTTAGTGACTCGGGCAAGTCCCAAGGGTGTTGTTTTGGCTAAAAGCAACCTATAAAACATTTCCCACTTTTTGCTCCCAGAATCAAACTTTATAGCTATTTTACAACCATCAAAGAACTTTAAGGCGACTTATTAACTGAATGTCCACAACATCTTTTAGATTTTCTTGATGCTAATTATTTTATTAGTAAGGCAATTTTGCAAGGGTCAGTACAGCTTAAAACAGTAATCAAATAAGTAAAATCAATAATCTAGCCTATCTTTCCCTAATGCTGACACTGAGAACTAAAAAAAGGAAACTTTGAGAGAGACGGACGGAGGTTGGCATCTTGAACCCCAGAACTAGCCTGATGAAGGAAGTGTTGCAGCAGCAGAAGGCTCACAGCGCTGATAGATGAGGGCAGCCGTCCGTGAGGTCACACAGGACTTGGGTGCTGGCAGGAAGAGTACTGACTCAGAGCGGCAGATCTCGGGCCTCAGGGTGACTTCCTCATGCGCGTAGCGGTCCTCTCCTTCTTGTCTTGCAGCTCTGTAGCTCCTTTCTCTTCGTCTCACGATCTTTCTGGTCCTTCGAGATGTAGAAGAGCTGGTCTCATGGAAGGAACACACCAGTTCTTCCTCTTTGCCTTTGTTCTTTGCCTTTGTCTTTATCTTCATCTTTGCCTTGGTCTTTTTCTTTGGGGTCTCGAACCCAGCTGATGAGAGAAATGCAATTTGAAGCCACATGTTGCGGGGCTAACGGGTTGGTCCTCTGTGGCTCCGGCTCTTCTTCAGCTGCAGAGTTCTTTGTCCATCTCGATCTTGGCTCGAAGCTGCCTGAAGGATCCAACCAAAGACTCCTCTTTTGCACTCACCTTATAAAGGGTTTATCCACCCTTTTAGTGCATTTGCATTGGCTAACTGCTTGGACCGATGATCTCATCACCGTCTTGGAGACATGACATGATGTCTGTTCTAATGACCCAGGGTTGCTCAACAGTCCTCTTGTGTCTAACCTTCTCTTAGGAAAGTTGAAGTTCAGCAATAAGGCCTTGGTCACCTCCGCTCTCCTATCAGTTCCTCTTTCCCCCTGACTTTTCACCTACCATCTACCTCCAACACAACATCAGTGACCTTTAGTTACAGTTACACACTTCATACCATTTCAAGTTCAATGTCAAAATCACATTTATAACCCCTTAGTTTCTCTGATTTAGCATTCACTTATAATATTATAATAACCATTACTTATTAGTTACTCTTATTATAGTCATGTGAGTTATTACAGACATTAATGGAAATCTAATTATTTGACACCATGTTACAGTTACTTCTTTCACCTTTAAGAACTTCCATAAGTATAAGAGTAAATATTCTTATAATCAAACCAACATCAACCACTGGTTAAATCAATATTAATTATTGGCCTAATTATAAGTTATTATTATTAATTTAAGTATTTTACTCTGGGTTTTATCCAATTGCTCAAAATGTTTAGATTTTATTCCTTAAACCTTTAGTGCTCTGAAATGAGCACTCTGAACTATTTTTATTCACTGCAGGCTGGAAACTTCCTCTTTTTTTCAGGAAACCTGCTCTTCCTGTTCCATGACTCTCTTTCTGCCTGACTATGATTTTTTTATGATTAAATAGAAAAAAGTAGAATTAAAGCAAAGTTTGCAGGACACAACAACAACACACACAACCAGATTAATTTTATTACCGTCTGACTCTACTGTTGGGTCTTGATGTCATCTGTGTAATCAGTTTTAAAGATAACTTTATTTATTGTTATTAAACTAAAATCTCCAGCATGGGGAAGTGGGATGAGCTCGACTTATCTCGACACCCCCTCCTCGAGGTCGGACCTTTCACATGCTGGGAACCTAACACCCTCCTGCAGGTCTGCGTCCTCATCCTCTGGAAAGAGAAGATGGTCCTCTGGGATGTGAAGGATGCAGATCCTCAGTCGTCACCAAGGCCACAGCAGCCTGGGATGTGAAGATGCAGATTCTCAAAACTCCACTGCTCTCTGACGAGCTGTTCATAATAAAATAATGATTTCATGGGATTCAAATATTACAGGAATATACATAGTGATGTGTATTTACTTCTGGTATACATTTGTAACTGTACATATTTTTCCCGATTTGATCGTAAAACTTTTCAATCTTATTCACAATAGATGTGACATGTCTGGTGATTAACCTGGAATCTATTCGCTGTATGTGGAACTTGAAGGGGACTCCACAAGTCAACTACACCTTTTACAGCAGGTTTGTATCCAGTGGTAATTGTTTATTTGACGTGTTGAATAAAACAAAATCATTGTTTTGACTTGGTTAAACAAGAATTGGCTGAATGCAGGAGCTCTTAATTTATACTAGCTTGTATTTAGTCCTTTTTTGTTTTTACTCTGACAACCCAAAATAAAATTCTCTACAACTAATTACCTTTGTAAGTCACCTAATAAACAGAATCTGCCCTGCTTTAATTTAAGCTTACCATCCCAGTGATCAAACATGGTAATGGCAGTATCATAATGTGCAGAATGCTACTCTTTATAACTGGTCAGAGATGAATGACCTAAATGATGATGCAATCCTACGAAGAAACCAGCATATTTATTTTAGATATCGTGCCATTTAATTTGAAACTGTTGAAACATAACACTAATCCTACAGAATGAGCTATTTGTTACACATTGAGGGATTATGATGAATTATGAAAAACAAAGCATAGGTAAAACTAGCAACTACTTATGGTATTATGCATCTTCCAGCCACTCAGTGTAATTTTAAAGTCTGTGATTTTACTATTTACGAACAGTTAATTTTATTTTGGTCATAATTTGGTTAAGTTGGAGAACATTTCTCCACAGGTCCAGATATCAGGGAGAAGCTATCTGTGCTAAATACCTGACTGAGAATGGAAGAAATATTGGATGTACGCTTCCCTACATCAGAGAGCAGAGATTCGAGTCATTTTACACTGAACTGAGGGACGGCAGCAAGACCTATGAAAAGGAACACGATCTTAAAACCAAAGGTAATTTCATCTAAAGCACGGATTAAAACAAGACTCCAATTTTGATTAAATACTGGAGTACAGATATATGAAATTGATCTCATTTCACATCCATGTTATCCCCAGTGAAATTAAACCCACCAACCAACCTGACAGTAAAGAATGCATCCGACCTGAACTTGTGGTTTTACTGGAACAATACTGTGAACCTTTCTTGTGTGGAGAGTCGAGTACGAATTAGGAAAAACGACAACAACTGGGAGGTACGTTTTTTTTTTTTCTTTCCTTTTTGTCACCCATATTTTAATGTTCCAGAATCTTGTCTCATTAACTGTTTGTATCATAGACTTTAAAAGTTTATAGAGGGCAGCAGCATTATTGCCAAAACTTGCCCTCCAGCACTGCCAGATATGAGCTGCAGGTGAAGAGCAGACTCGATGAGAACTGTGGGGAGTCTGAGTTCTGGAGCGACTGGAGTGAGTCTGTGGTCTGGGGATTCAATAACACCACAGGTAAGGCTGCAGGATACATGGTATATACTGAGTTCATGTGGGAAGAAATTAACAGGATGTGAATTTTTTCCTTTTTCCCAGTCTCAAATGCTAAAAATGAGGCAATGCCAGTGTGGACAGCATTGCTGTATGTGGTGAGCGCCATCACCCTCCTTCTTCTGGTTGTGATCCTACTGCACAATGAACGGTAAGTCGTATCATGATTCATGATTTCTTTTTTTTTTTTTTTTGCTGCTCACTTTTTTCTTTCTTTCTTTCTTGTTTTTTTTTTTTTTTTTTTTTTTTTTTTTCTGGGCCCCATTTTTTTTTTTTTTTCCCAACCAAATAAAAATTCCCTTTTCCTTTTTTNAAGAAAACAAATTCAACATAAAAGCGGATCTATTCAATCTAATTCTATGCTTTGTGCTCTGAGCAACGTTATACTTTATTTATTTTACATTATATTCAGAATTCCTTAATTCACTTTCTGAACCATTTGAAAGAAAGTTTTTCAGTTTTTTACATATTTGACCAAGATAGTCAACCTGTTGTTTTTATCAGTTTCAGTTTCTTTATTATTATTTTACATTAGTTGTTCTACTCCTAATTGCACTGACTGAACAAGTTAAAGTTGTTTTTACATGTTTGACAATTGGTGAAGCTGTTGGTGTATGTAAGTGAGCTGTACTGATGCAGAGTTATCAAACACACTAGTAATTCAGTGTATTCATGTCTGTCTTTAAAAAATAAATGTTTTTGTTGGCTGTCAGCCATAGTATTTTACATGTAGGCCAGGGTGTGAATACTTTTAAAAGACTAAATCAGTGCTGATTGTGATTTCCAGAGGAAGGAGCAGTAGTCACCATCGATGTTGGCCTGGCCTACAGAGACGATTTGTTCAGCGAGTGGACGGAGATGGCTCACTCGTTTGAACACAGGAACCTGAACTGCAACTTCACAGCTGAAAAGGTAAAGAAATGCTGCGGGGGGCAACACAACTCAGTTTTTAACCTGCAATGTTACAACACGTGGAATACAACTCATTCTGAGACGGCTGACATGAACTGTACATGTCATTTTCTAACTGGGGATGTTTTAAGAGGTTAAGATTTAACTTTTGGTTTTTAAAATCATTAAATTGTCTGGCATCATCCTTCCTCACTAATCTATTACATACACATAGTTCTTGTAAGTTGCTAAGATCTGAAAACTAAATGATTTTAGTTGCTTTGAGGGCTAAACTGGTGTGTAAAGGAGATCGAGCTTTTTCAGCTGTCATTCCTACATTGTGAAGCAGTTTCCCATTAGTATGTCATTATTTATTTTATTTCACAATGTTGCCTATTTTACCTGTGCAGCACTTTGGTCACTTTATTGTGTTTATTAGTTCTGCATTACACCATGTTGATCCTCTGTTTTTTTATGGTTTGGTTTAGAACAAACACATTTTTTACAATAAGATCAATCTTTCATTGTGTTTCATTACAATTGTGTGCAAAACTCTTCATATTTTGATGTAGATGAAAAATCGCCTCATCCTAGCACAACCCCGCCACCCCCCAAATTTCCTTGATTCCATTAAGCAAATGCATTTTTGTGGCAGGCAGTGATAAAAGTGTTTCCAACCTGCTGCTGCCTTCGTGTTTTCAGACCATTGAGAACGAGGGCCGTTACTACGTATGCGACCCCCTGCCGTTCATGGAGGTGGGCAGCGTGGCTCACAAATATTACCTCATCAACATCCGCCTGCCGGTCAACGAGCGCAAGAAGGTCAACATTGGGATCGGGGAGATCAGAGACATTCGTCTCGTGGTAAGCTTTCCTCTGCTGCTCCTGGTGTTTTTAGATAGAATAGCAGTGACTGTGTGTGTTGGTGTTGGAGGCCATTCACAGCTGAAAAGAGCACTACATGATGATGGTTTTTATTTTCTCAAGAGCATCCATCAGAATGGAGGCTTTACTCAGGTTTGGTTCGCCATGAAGACCTTCCTCACACCCAGCATCCTCATCATCATGATCTGGTACTGGAGGCGGATCACCCTCATGACCAGACCACCCGTTCTCCTGGAAAAGTAAGCCACTTATTTCCTTAATCGCAGTTACAAAAGAATAGAAATAAAATTTATTGTCCTGTAGAGACGGAATCCAGAGTAAAGGCTCTCCCATTTTGTGTTTTTAATGTTGTAAAGTGTCCTTGGGTGTTCTGAAAGGTGCTCACAAATAAAATGCATTATTATTTTAATAAATAGGAGGATTGTATCTTATAAATAAGATTTTGAGAATTTATATCAATATTTTATTCAACATCAGAAAAATATATCAATTTTCATTATGATTGAAGAGTTTGGTTTAAAGGGGCATTATTATGTAAAATGTTCTCATCAAAAGCATGCAACTTTGCTTTGATTTTTTTCATTGCATATTTGAGAAATCCTTTTGTCGTCATGGCAACCATTCAGCTGTACAAAACACCTGCAGTGTAAGTTTTGCTCCACTAAGCTACAACAGCAAACATTCAACACCTGGAACAGCAGCCTTTAAAATGCGTCTTTGTCTTTCTTTAGAAACACCATTGAAATGCTCACATTACTAGAATCCCTTGTAAAATCCAAGAATTAGTTGGACTTGTTGGGAACAGGTAGTGTAAGTAGTGTAGTCCAGGGGCCCGGCGTTTGTGTAACCTCCTGCTGTGCCGGGACCACGGATCAGTACGGAGGCAGCGGTCTGCGCCGCAGGAAGCAGCCGGCCAAGTGTGAAACATGCTACAAAATCCTCCAGCACTCAACAGATGCATGTTGCACATGCAACACACACTCCAGCTTACCAGAAAGCAAATGCAGCCCGCACACACACACACACACACACACACACACACACGGATCCACATGCACACAGTCTCTCTCCATCCCACTTGTCTTTTCCAGCTCAGTGCTCTTATTCCCAGATGACAAGCAAGCTCTTAAGAAGTGTGACTCGTCTTGCCCTATTTGTGGATAGTATATGATTTTTTCATGCTGTAAAAGCTTCACTCGAGGTTCCTGCCATGCTTAGCCTCTAGGTATCGGCATAAACCTCAGATTCCCTCTAAGTGAGGGAAGCTCTGGGTTAAAAAGACTCACTATGTGATAAAACTGCATAAGCTGCATTAAAATGCCAGATTTTTGTAGTTTTGGATCGATACATAAAGTCTCTGGAATGACGATGATTATTAGAGATGTGAATCTTTCAGTGTCTTTTAATCACAATTTTTAGGGCTGCAATTCTATTCAGGAACGATCTTTCATTCAGAATGAATTTATTTTGGATATTTAAAATGTCTTCCAGTTCCAGTGTTGGATGTTTATTAGAATTTAAAGTTCACTGATCTTTGAGAACGTGTTCTTTTAGTTGAAAATGGTCACAATATTTATTGTTTATCGCAATAACTTCAGGGAAAACTTGTCATCCAGCAGACTTTACCTTGATGTTTGCTTTCCATCAGTGAGTGCTTGTACCCGCATGTTTTAGGTTACCACCATGTTTTCTGCTCACATCGCTGCCCTGTCATTTCCACATCGCATGCTGAGACTTGCCTGCTCACTAATAAGAACCATTGAATTGTTTTTGTCTTTTTCTAAATGTCTTTCTGCTATGGACTCATTTTTCTCTCAATCACCAAATAAAGATCCTGAATGTAGAGGCTTCTGTTAGCAGAGTGGTGTGGGGATATATAAATATATCTAAATTACTTAGAAAATCACACTTATGTATACTTTTTAATGTATACGATTAAATTTGTATTTGCTTATATTTAAGACTTTGGATGAGAGTAGCTTGCCAATAAATAAGCAATGTCCCCTCAGAGGATTATTAAAGTATATCCTGATTCTATTGTTTGATATTAGGATTTGGTTGATCTGAAATATTTATTTTTGAGAAAAAAGTATAAACAGAGTAAATCTGTGAGAAAGTAAATATTTTCTGAGTTCCCTCATCATGACTCCCAGCAGCCTGGCTTGGTGAGGTTTGTTCTTTAATAAACCTGCTGTCCAGCTTGGCTTCCTGATGAAATATGAACCATCATAAAGATGAGAATCAAGTGCCAGCAACCTCATTCCCTTGAGTAGCTGACATTCGGTTGCCAGGGAAAAGACATCTTCTAAAAGGAATTTTTTTTTTTTTTTTTTTTTTTTGCTTGCTTTAAATTGTATTTATGTTTTCCCAGGGTGATCTTTGCTCTGGGCATCTCCATGACGTTCATTAACATCCCAGTGGAGTGGTTCTCTGTGGGCTTCAACTGGACCTGGATGCTTCTCTTCGGAGACATCCGACAGGGAATCTTCTACTCCATGCTGCTGTCCTTCTGGATCATCTTCTGTGGTGAACATCTCATGGTACTGCCTCTGTTAAATGCTTTAACAGTTGACAGTGCTTGCTAAGATTTTTGCATTGTAGTTTTAATTCAATTCCCTTCAAAAATACGTTATTGATCCCAAAACACAAAATATTACCAAATGTTTTTGGTCTAGTTTCTAGTGCATAAATCTTAGTACATTTGTAAGTTAGCTTTGTCTTATTTCAAATAACTTTTCAGGGTGGGAGAGGAGCTTGTTTTAAGTTAATAATTCCTTAATGTTGATTAAAAGATCTAGTTCTACTAGCAGATTATTTCACTTAGAACCTCAAAAATGTTTTATTGTTATAAGTGCAATAATCTGAAAGTAGAACTAGAACTTTTTTTAATCAATGTTAATGAATGATTTACTTAAAACAAGCTCCTATAAAAAATTACTTTACTTAGTTTTGTCTTATTTCAAGTGTACTAAGATATTTTCACTGGAAACTGGACCAAAAATATTTAGTAATATTTTGTGTTTTTCCTTGTGTTTTGGATCAGTACTGTCCCCAGATCATACTCCATTCTACTCCATTCTTTGTAAAGTGTGTCAAAGCAGGAGTGACGGCAGAAGAGTCTATCGGTTGAGGGTTAGAAGGTTTTTTTCTGACCAAACTGACTTCAAACGTCTTCCTCTGTCTGATAATAACTGACAATTTAGTCTTTTCTCAGCCACTGCATCCACACTGAGTAATGTTGTTACTGTTTCCTGTTTACATTAATCTTATAATGTGTTGACTTGTTGGAAACCTTCCAAATTCCATATTTTTCCATATTTTACGTTTTTGTTGGTTTACTTGTCCAACCTTTTCACTTTGTTCTTACTCCAAATTATTAGAATCTACATGCCTGTTGGTTTAGGATCCTTCTTGAATACATTTGATAAGTTTAAAGATTACTTTTAGAAAAAAAATATGGCAAAATCTGTCGATTTCTTGAAGCTTAGTTACAAATTCGAAGTTAATGAAGCTGTAACATACACTTTAACTTTCAGTGAAGTAGTTTTGTGTCATATTTTGTGAATGAATGTTTTTTTCCTGGTGTGATTGCCTTTGTGTTTCTCTTGCCTCTCTCTCAGGACCAGATGGAGAGAAACCGTTTCTCAGTCTACTGGAAGCAAGTCGGGCCGATTGTGTTTGGTTCCTTCTGCCTGTTTATCTTTGACATGTGTGAGAGGTGAGCTGCAAAGTGTAATAAAGAAGAAAAGAAAATATGTTTTCTATTAAAAGACCTTCACCACTGTCACTCTTTTTGTGTCTCTAGAGGTGTCCAGCTAACAAATCCCTTCTACAGCATTTGGGCCTCAGACGTAGGGACGGAGCTGGCTGTATCCTTTTTAACCCCTGTGGATCAGAACCAAAACAGGAAGAAAGAAAATGAAAAAGTGGAAGTGGTTTTAGTTCAGAAACTAAAAAAATATGATGTTTTTGCTTCTTGATTCAACTACCAGAATCTACCAGCACAAGATACTGAATCAATCTAGATTATCATAAAGAACAATTCAGTGGTGCCACATGGTTAGGCATTGCATAGAGACTCATTATGATAAATATATGTGAGCTTTGCTGTTTTTGCCCAGCTTGCAGATATGAATATATTATCGATTTTTATTTATTTATTTATTTTGAGTCCTCATGACTTGAAGGCATTTTGGCCTCAGTTCTTCTATTCACCGCTCTGAAATAATGAATCCATGTATCGTTTCTCATGACAGACAGGCCAGTTTAAACATTAGCGGGACAATAAGAATATTTTAAATGTGAGTGCTGTATTCATCATCTTCCTTAACCAGTATGTCCTCAGATGTCCTTCATAATAGTGGCAGGAATCTGTGCCTGTCTCTACTTCCTGTTCCTCTGCTTCATGGTGTTTCAAGTCTTCCGTAACATCAGTGGTAAAAGGACTTCACTGCCTGCCATGTCCAAGGCCAGACGCCTGCATTATGAGGTGTGTTTGGTTTGGTCTGATTAGATAAACACACACATACACTCACATTTCTATATCTTTAAGCGGTTTTGGAAAAACTGGGGTGCATCGATTGTAGTACCCCCCCCCCCCCCTTATTAACTCTTTCTATCGCCCCCCCTTTCACCCCCCACCCCCCTCCCAACACCACAC